CTGGAATACCTAACCACTGATGAAATGACCGTAGTCATCAACAGTCATCAAGCCTATTTCCGCGATAAGAAGGAACGACTATCTTCATTCTATTAGGGTCTGCCGACGGGAGACCATCTCCGCGACCTTAATGAATTAGCCACAAGGAAGCAAGATACAGCTACGTTATGACAACTCTGTAGAATGGTGATGTTATCTCCAGACTCGGAGCTGCCTTGTATAGAGCCTACCCTCGCGGTAAGCCTGACTTACGGGTTTGGGACTATCACAAGGACTCTCATTGCGTCTGAAGATTCACCTTCAAGTTGTTACGTCTGCAGTTCCTGAAAGTCGTGGAGATCGGCTGCAAATGGATCTCCCATGCATACCAGTTTGAAGCCGCGGTGGGCCGACTTGTACTGATCCGCCCTTCTGGAAACCCGACAGGTGGTGCAGATCTCGGGATCGAAATCGACAACGATTTCAGTAGACAATACTCCACGTGAGCAGTAAAACGCCAGGGTATATAATTACATGGTCTTTGAGATGAGTTTCGTGTGTCCAACGTCGACTTCGTACTCGAGAGGTCCGTCATGCTGTTTTCGCAGCCCATCCTAATTTTGTTAGGAACCTACTGTGGCTTCGTGGCTGCCAGCCCATTGGACAAGCGTGCAGCACCGGTAGTGACTCTAGACAATGCTACCGTCACAGGTGTCGCATCAGGCTCGGTGAACGAGTGGCTTGGAATACCCTTCGCACTACCTCCGTGAGTGCGTTGTGACCGACGTTTGAGATGGCTAATGTTGGTTTCTTGATTCAGAACTGGCAATCTCAGGTTCCAGCTACCTCAACCTATTCCGTCATACAACACGAGCTTTTTAGCAGCAGAATATGGTCCTTCTTGTCCCCAACAGGCTATAACATTACCTATTCCTCCCGGCTTGCCTGCTGAGACCCTCGATTACCTCACAAGCACGATATACAATGCTGTCATTCCAAGTTCAGAAGACTGTAAGTCTGATGCGACAGCAAACATGTGGTCGTTGAATTCACTCCCTATAAGGCTTGACTGTGAACGTCGTCGCGCCTGCGGATGCCACTCCGGAATCAAACCTCCCTGTTGTGATTGTAAGTTCAATTTTTATCAGCGCTGTTGCAGATTATGGAAGCCTCCTAGTGGATCTTCGGAGGAGGTTTTGAGTTTGGAAGTACCAGCACGTCAGTGACAGTTTCTTGCTGCGAATAGCAGGAACGGGCAATCTAATCGTTCTTTAGTTATGACGGATCCGTCATCGTCAATAAGGCGATCGACCTCAATGTGCCTACGGTGTATGTGAGCATGAATTATCGGTGAGTTCCACGCAAGTTTTTGCAGACTGTCAGCATCTTTTGATCAAGATCTATTCAGCTTGACAGGTGGGGTGCCCGCAATGATATACAATCATGATGATTGATTCACGACTCTAGCTTTTGGGTTCCTCGCTTCTGAAGAAGTCAAACAAGCTGGAGTAGGAAACCTGGGACTGCAAGATCGTGGGTAGAATGTGATCGATTTGTGGTGCTGAGTTATCATGCCATATTTTCTTACAGAGCGACAAGCGATGAGATGGGTCCAAAAGTACATCAGTGCTTTTGGCGGTGATCCCACGAGAGTAACTATGTATGCACGCGCACATCCCGTCCCACAAGGACCAGGCTAATATTATCACTTCAGCTGGGGCGAAAGTGCTGGCGCTATATCCGTCGCACTCCATATGGTCACCAACGGTGGAAATCCCGAGGGACTTTTCCGTGCTGCATTCATGCAAAGTGGATCCCCGATCCCGGTCGGTGACATCACTCATGGACAAGGCTACTACGACTATATTGCGAACCAAACCGGATGCGCCGGATCCCCGGACACGCTGCAATGTCTGCGAGAGGTTCCGTACGACACACTGATGGACGTTATTAACCAGACCCCAGGTATTATGTCGTACCAGGTGAGTACGCTCATGGAGAGTGCGCTGGACACTAATCTCGATATGCAGAGCTTAGTGCTTGCCTGGTTACCTCGGGTAGATGGCGTATTCCTGACGGCTGATCCACAAGATCTGGTCTTGCAAGGCTCCGTTGCGGATATCCCTTTTATTACAGGGGATAATGATGACGAAGGAACTCTCTTTTCATTTTCTACTCTCAATATCACGTCAGTCTATCGTTATGTCATTTTCGTGTTCATTTGTTTACCAATTTCCAGCACGGACGCTCAACTCGCAGAGTATCTTCAGATGTACTGGCTCCCTGATGCTCCGGCTGATACAATCCAGCAACTGTTGGAATATTACCCCGAGGATCCCACTCAAGGCTCTCCATATGATACAGGAATCCTTAATGAGTTGTCTCCCCAATTTAAACGTCTTGCATCATTCCAGGGCGACATAGTATTCCAAGCGCCGCGTCGCTTTTTCTTGGAGCAACGCTCAGGCAGCCAGAGCACTTGGGCGTTCCGTGAGTAAGATTCGGCACCTTGGTGAGCAGCGTCTAACATCTTATCAATTAGTGAACAAGCGTTTGAAGTCGGTTCCTGTGCTGGGATCGGTGAGTTGTGTCAAAGCATGGTCCTAACCTATGACACTGACGTTCTTCGTCTGCAGTTCCACGCATCGGATTTGCTCAATGTTTACGGCGGAAACGACATGGCGTCGTACCTCGTTCGCTTTGTTACTAACCTGGACCCAAATGGGTCCGGGGACCTCGCGTGGCCAATGTGGACCACCAGCTCACCAAACCTACTCACTTTCCTCGACGGTCTGATTCCCCAGGAAATTACGCAGGATACATACCGTGCTGAAGCAATTGCCTACTTAATGAGTGTGAACCTGCAATACCCCAGTTGAAGGGGTTTTCTTCCATCCTTAATGTTTATCGTGTATCTATTTCTGAAAGTGGTGGTGTACGATCACGTCTAGATCTAAATTATATCGATGAGCGCTACTGAAATAACAAAGGAAAGCAAAGGACGAAGGATGCAGTGGTATCATGGACAATCACTGCTATCATCTTTCCATGATGGATCGTCACCGTCAAGTGTCGTCGCTTCGTCATCCGTCTGAAACAATCCTGACTCAGTATCACTCTCGCACTCGCAAACCTCGGAAACTTCCTCGATAACCAGAGCATCAGATCTTGCAGGGGAACCCTCATCTATCTGTGGACTCGGCTCTGGGTGAGTATCAACGAAAGCTTGTAACGATATGGGTTCATCATCCGGGTCTGGTGGTTGGAGCGTCGATCCCTCCGCTTCATAGAAATCACTGAGGGTGAGTGGGCGCATGTTGAAGCCCTGACATTCGCAGTTGGCTACATTCATGAAACAAGGACTGAAATGCGTACCTCTTTCTCGACCTTGTTCAGTGCTTCTTCGTCATGCTCCATGGCGCGCATACATTCCCTAACTGGGACCATCGCAGCATTGCGGCATAACTCGCGTAAATCCGAACCAGAAAACCCTGTTGTCTGAGTAGCAAGGAGGGATAAGGAAATTTGTGAATCCAATTTCGTCTCCTTGAGCATCTGATCGAGTTCAGCGCGAAGTTCTAAATCAACGATATAGACACGTACTAAGGAGAGAATTTTGAATCTCTGATCTGCATCCGGAAGACTCACAGCAAATCGCTTTGGCATGCGCCGCAGAATGGCAGGGTCGATGTCACCCGGTCTATTCGTTGCGCCTAATACCAATATCCTGTCGGAACCTGACGTCAAGCCATCCCATGAACTAAGCCTCTGACATCAAACAAAGATCGAGAAGAAAAACCCATATAGCTCACGTCATGAATTCCGCCTTCATCATGCCCATAACTTCATGGTCATCCCCACGGCGTTCCCTCAGGAAGGAGTCAATCTCATCAACAAATATGATGGCGGGTTGAACCTTGCGCGCGAGGCTGAACAGACCTGCGACTAGCTTGTTGGACTCTCCGAACCACTTATTCGTGAGTGTGGATGCAGGGACATTGATGAATGTTGCACCGGATTCTTTGGCAAGCGCACGTGCGAGCATAGTCTTGCCGCATCCTGGAGGTCCGTAGAGCAGAACACCCTTTGGGGCTCCGAGGAGGGGAGAAGCTGAGGTGAAGAGAGCGGGATGGATTAAAGGGTAGATAATGGTTTCGCGGAGAGATGATATGATTAGCTCCAGACCCCCAATGTCTAAATCTTGATTAAGACTGGAAATTTCATGTGGAAGAGATGGCGAACTCACCCTGAAATCGGACCTTGATTTCGTCTGGATGAACGACCTCCTTTGAGATTGCTCCTGTGAGTCTCGGAAGTCAAGATATGAGAAACAGTTAGAAACGTCGCACGTACTCTCATATTCATCTAGCTTGAGGTTTCTTTGTCCTATGAGCTTCTTCATTACCTCGGCGCTCTTTCCTGTCCGGTCATCACTTCGCTTGAAATACCACTATAAGGTTGAATTAACGGTGCTTCTTGCATAAATTTCTATGGCTGAGACGCACACGAATTGCACAGTAAACTGCTGCCTGGAACATGGGTTCTCAGATTTCCAGAAGCCAAAAAAAGTGGATGAGAATAATAATCACCTGCGATGCGAGGAATAGAGCAACTGAAATCGTAAAGTATCAGCGACAGTTACAGATTGAAAGCCTCAGAAAAACAAACCATCAATGATTATCAGGCGTCTCGTGCTCAGAGAAGATGACATAGTGACCTAAGAAGAAAAATAGACGGCTTGCAGCAGCGAGGTTTCCGCTGGCGTTGACACGATCATACTTCAGTTTGTGTCTGTTTAGCAAGAGCTTTGGAATTCAATAGAACCAAACACCGCTTCACTTTATATAAGTATACACTTAGCGGCTAGCTTTGTGAGATTGCTGGGTCCCCTGGGTGCAGATGTTGAGTTTGTAAAAGTTGTGATTGATATGCATAGACAATATAGACATTCATTTTTTTTAAAACCTATCATGCAAAATGTAGGTAACAGATTGGATAGTAAAAATGAAGGGCAAAATAAATGCCAGGACCGTGGATTGAACACGGGACCTCCAGAACTTCAGTCTGTTGCTCTCCCAGCTGAGCTACCCCGGCGATGGTGAGAAGGTCAGCAAATGTGAACAAGATATAGATAGCTTCCCTCCTGCCAGCTTCATGCGGTCAAATTTCAAATCAGTTATAGTGAATCTAGCTGAAGGATCAGCTAGTACTTATCCTCCCCCAATTCGATAGCGCCAACGCAAGAGAGGAACTGTCTTGTCCCACCTCCTCAAGCTGATCTCGTAAGACCGACATCATGTGGTCAGATATCGGTAGACCGCTTTTCCTCGCCACGCCTGCTGACCGATCGGGTGAACCTTCCACTTCGATAGGGCTTTAAATAAGGGACCTGGTCTGAATCCAACCGTATAGCTTTCCCAGATTCCCATTCTCAGCGCCCTCAACGATGACGGCTCTCGCTCCGCAACCCACCAAATGGACTAACTACCTCATGAATATCTACGGGCAGGCAAAGCTGCCCATTCTGGGCACTGTCGCTGTGAAAGAGATAGAGGATAAGGCTCGCGAAGCGATGAAAGACAAAATGCGTAAGTACTATCATTCCCTCCGGGTTGCAGCATTTCATTCAGACGAGGATGCTAGCGGCCTACATGTACACATTTGGGAGTGCGGGGACGTGCTCAACAGATGTTGCAAATAGACGTGCATTTGACCGATGGAAGATCATCCCTTCCATGCTCAAGGAATGCACTAATCGGAGTATCGAAGTGAGTAATTGTGGGCGCTTGCTGCCCCCGTCTCATGTACTCTATCTGCGCAGACAACGATACTCGGAGAGAAGTTCCAAGCGCCCCTTTTTGTCTCACCTGTGGGTGTTCAGGGTATCATGCATGCAGACGGAGAGCTTGCAACTGCAAGGGCTGCCGCAGCCTGCGGGATCCCATACATCATGAGCACAGCATCTTCCCGTTCAATCGAGGATATCGCAGAAGCAAACGGGCCTAATGGTCAGCGCTGGTATCAGCTCTACTGGTACGCTTCATCCCACTTCCCCCCTTCTATTCAAGTAAACTCCATTGCGAACACTCCAGGCCACGCACAGAAGAGATCACAATATCCCTTCTCAACCGTGCCAAAGCTGCAGGCTTCACTGCACTCGTGATCACGCTTGACACCATGCTTTTAGGATGGCGTCCACACGACCTTGAGACTGCCTACATCCCCTTCCTTTATGGCGTCGGCATCCAGGTTGGCGTATCTGACCCCGTATTCATGAAGCGATTCGGGTACGAACCCGTTCACGAAACCACCGCCTTCCCGTTCGAGCCAGAGAAGATTAGGGCAGCGTCCAACGCGGGTGATTCAAACGCCCAAAGGGCGATGAAACTCGGAGGGGAGTGGCTCGGAGAAGTCAATTCAGGCGTCTTCAGGAGCTGGGATGATCTGCAGTTTATCAAAGATCATTGGGAGGGACCCATCATCCTGAAGGGAATCCAACGGGTGTCCGTAAGTCCATATCTTTTTAATAATATCTGGGGGTGGTGATTTCATTCTTCATATTAGGATGCGGAGAAAGCTATTGATATGGGTATTCACGGGATCATTGTGTCTAATCACGGTGGGCGTCAAATTGACGGTGCCATTGGCTCCTTAGATGCCCTCTCCAAGATCATGTGCTCGACTAAGGTCCTCGAGGCACAGAAGAAAGGCAGCCTGACGGTACTTTTCGATTCTGGTATCCGCACAGGCAGCGACGTAGTCAAGGCGATGGCAATGGGCGCGCAGGGCGTCCTCCGTACGTGCCCTAATTTTTATGTGGCGGTATATATATTTTATGGTTTGTTTTTACAGTTGCTCGTCCATTCATGTACGGTCTTGCCATTGCGGGGCAGCCAGGAGTCGAGCAGATTCTGATGCAAACCGTGGCTGATTTGCATGTCACCATGGGTCTGTGTGGATACAAGGATGTTAATGACATGATTGGTAAACGGGACGAACTACTCGAACGCGTGGACGATTGAAGGATAAAACGTACTAACAAATCACCACGTGTAACAGTTCATCATTTGTATTACTTAGAAGGGTCTACGACTATTGTTACAGTTGTTTGTCAAGTACGCTTACATCATTTTCTTCTTGGACATTCTATGTACTTCTAGACCGTTCTATGCCTCACCTTTGTCGTCCGTATCATTAGGTCGCTGACTCGTGTTGTACACATGTCAGCTATTATTACTCGCATAGCCTTTGTAGTTCTGTATAAATACCAGGCATAGGTCACAGCTGTTCTTCAGCTTGACCTACGCGGATTTCCCTGAACATCTATCTGACTTGAATTCTAAGAGTACTCTTCGTCTCTTAGTCTTATTGGCTTGAATAGCGACTTAGCTCGTCGCTTGGTGTTTGTACTTATTTGTTCACGCTCCCGCGTAACAACTATAGATTCCAAATGGTATCTCGAATTTACCTCACAGTCAACGGATTTCAGAACGTGAACCTCACGTGGGGGAAGCCCCACAAAATACGTCCGTTATATCCGATTTGTTCTATACTCAAGAAGTTGCCTCGAATGTCCAGGAGACGTGGACGCGGAGATGTTGTGCAGATCCGGACATGACCATCGCCACCGACAACATCGGATAGGTCAATGCATGCAGTCTCAAGAACGCATATGTCGGACAAGACCAGCGATGGACCACCTTGGGTCACTTGTCAAAACTAGCAATCAAAGCACCACGAACAAAGGTGCACGCCACTGCGGCGGCACATTGATCTAATTTAGGTAAGTGTGGACGGTGGCAGCACAGTGGACGCTTGAAGCGTCCACATCGCTCAGGATATAAAAATGCGCCTTCGTGTATGGAGAAGTCCATGCGACTTGTGTTTCTTCCTTACCTCCTCTCAGCCTTACTCCGCTTGACCCTAAAAAATATGCCCGTCGCCACGATCATCACGCGCTCCAATAGCGCTGCTTCAATGAGCATCACCGACGCTCTGGCACTCTCCCCCACCAACAGACTTACCCCCGCCGAGCGAAAGGCCATCAGTAAATCAGACAACAAGGCTGGCAAGGTCCTTGGTATCACGCTCACGCGGAACGACGTGGGGCATGCAAGCCCAGATAGACAACGTGTCATAGTTCCATATGCAGACCAAGAGAACGTTCAGGGCGGGGACACCCTGGGAGATATGATGGCTCTCATAGGCGCAAAGCGGGCACGTAGCCGAAATCCAAGCACCGTCGCGATCATTGGTAAACTTAATGACCTTGGTCTTGGAGTGGCCGTAGGGATGAGGATGGACTTTGCAGAGAAGCGAAGCAAAAAACGTAGAATGGGTGCACACTATACGCAGCGCGTTGTATTAGGACCCTTGCGCTCCAACGATGCGCCACTTGATCAAGAAGAATTGTCGACTGCCGGTAGTGACAACAGTGGCTGCTCGTTCTTGGAGTTAGACCATGATGAAGATGCTGATGAAGATACAAAGACGCCACTGGCAGGCGAGTTTCCGGGGGGCAACGACGCAAAGGAAGAAGACGATGATCTATTTGGCCTTCAGGCAGGATGCTTTGTTTGGGACGTCGAAGATCCATTTAACGCACCTCCTGATCCTGTCCTTCAACAACATTTCGATGCGATGAGGCTCGGCGAAGGGATTGGGCCTTTGGATGATGTGCCATTCAATCTAGTGGCGTCCGTCGAAGATAATTATTCGGCACTCTCCTGTGACGATTCGTTCGATGACCTGCTCCGTCCATCAGAAAAGGCTTATCTCGATTTTCTGATCGCACAAGACGAAGCCGAAGAGGAGCCATTGGAGCGGAGAAGGGAAAGAAGGGCGGCATTGCGATCTAGAAACAAAATGCTGGATGTATTGGGGGAAGAAGCACGACAAGTTGTTGATAGACAATGCTAAATTGATCGCGTGTATATGTATGCAATACTGTTTTTAAAAGAGACTGAACAGGAAGAGTCACTAGCGCGACGTCCTCATTCATAAAGTCATGTGATTGAATAAGTTAAATAAATAAATTCAAAATTTACTCTCCTGCGTTCGCACAGCGCTCGAAGGCGCTATAATATGCCGTAAGCCCACCATCAAAATACATAAGATGTCCAAATTTGTAACTGCTTAACTCCATTTTCACTGCCAATGGAAGTTTTCTAGACCCTACATATACTAATAGGTCATACTTCGACAGGGAACCGGACAACCATGGCGACATTTACGAGAAATCCCTGCATAAAAGGCGACATACGCGTTCTACGGATGCATTTCAGCCCCCTCTCGATCGTCTAAGAACAAAATGCGCGCCTCAACTGTCTTTACTCTCTTTTTCAGCTTTTTCTCTGCTGTTGGCGTCGCGTTTTGTCTCCCTTCACCGCTCCCAGCTTCTGTTTATGCCCATGGTGAGTAAATATGCTTGATTCATGGCTAACCTGGCCACTCATTTCCATCTCGAAGACATCCCCAATAAACACGTTGCAGACCCTATGGGCCTTTTCCTCAGGGGGCTAGGCCAGCTAGGCATGCGCGAAATTCAATTGCAGATTCGCGACTACTGTTCAAAGTTTCCTTGTGGCGAAGCCAGTAAGTGCAATAATTCTCTTGCGGTTGGTGAACAGAACTCACAAGTAATATGCAGTAGGGAAAATCTGAATTGAATATCCATACCAGATTGCAATGGTTGTTCTTTATACCCTTTCGTGTGTTGTATCTGTGCAAACTTTTCTCGTGTTTCAGTACCATTTGCATTACGGTGCTACCACCTTGTCCTACCATTTGAATTATTTGCACGTATATTCGTAACTTATCATGTATGTAAATGCTGTAGAAGCTTGTCGCACTTCGTTCGCATGCTTTGAAGGTACTCATTATTGTTGCAATGTTGGCTTGTTCAATATCATTGGCAGTATTTATCGATTGTTTATCGAGGAAGTGTTGGCGGAAGCGCAGGGAAGCGATGACGCACCGGAGGCTCCTGCAGTTGCGGACAAGCGAATTCCACTAATTTGGTCTCCGATTTTTAGGCACTCTCCACTTGCTTAAGTTGCACATTCAATGTTATGGACATTGTATTTACGGCCTAA